GAAGGGGTAAAAAAGACAGAATAAGAAATTCTATGATGTGGTTCCAGTTCATCTCCTTTGTCATTCAAGTGCAGTGGGGCTGGGAGAGGAAAAGTGCCACACAAAAGTCACTATTAGCTGACAGATATCTTATCCTCTATTTGAAGGTCAACTGGAAACAGAACTCAAAATCAATTTGGGGAACCTTGCACTATTTACCTGTAAGAGAGTCAGAGTTCAGTTGCACAACTGAGTAGTGAAGTGGCTTTGCAATTAAAACACAAAGTGAAATCTGCCAATAAAGGAAAAATTATGCACTAAATGCATCCAGCACTGTAAATATAATTACGTTTGAAAACTATTTTCAGTTAATCTTTCAATAGAGAAATATGTTAAAAATATAACTGATCAATCAATTGTTATACTGCCATTAAATGATAATCAATGCCCTAGCCAGTTTGGCTCGGTGGTTAGAGCATCAGCCCGTGGACTGAGGGGTCCCAGGTTCGACTGGAATGAGTGTGGGAGGAAACCAATCAAAAATATGTATGCATGTGGACAAAGACTACATGAGAATATAAAAAAATAAATTTTTCACGAGATGGGTGAAATTTTTGTGTGTGGTACTTACAAGTTTTCTTCAATATTTATAACATTGCTTTATTATAAAATATAACAAACAATAGTTTCAAGGCCTTAATATTGGAAATAAATTTAAATATTTCTACGGTCGTTCCTATATAGCATTTAGGTGTAGTCCAGATATTTTTTGGAGCTTCTGCTCCAGGTCTGAGAAGTCAGAATGGTTCTAAGAACCCTTAACAGCACCCATAATCTCTAGGCCAAGCCAATTTTCATGGTCCTATCTGCATCCTGGCTCTTCTCCTGAGGATAGGCTGCTCCTTAAACAATTCATGATCCTAAACTCATCAAAATAATTACAACAAAGTTTCTCCCCAGAAAAGCATTTTAATGAAAGCAAAATTTATTTCACCACAGTATAAAAATTTTGGGCAGTTCTAGTAGTAGTTCTTCTTACATGGTCAGAAAGAATGTCTGGCTAGCTCTCCCCAGGGCCCAACACAGTGCCTATGAAGGCCTCAGTAATATTTACTGAAAAAAAAAAACCTTTAAAATATATCTGTATTGTATATTATAACATACCTCTTACTTCACTAAACGTTCATTTATAGAGGTGCTATAAAGAATAATTGTGCTTGCTTTATGGTACATTACTTTCAATGGTAAAATCCTTACTAATAAGATTACCTTAGTTATTAGAATATTAAAACATCCTCAAATATAAAACATTCCACTTATTAAAATAGAGCAATGAATATTCAACAAATATTTACCAACATCTATAATTCTGTTACAATAAATCAGTTTTATGCATGAACAGTGTATATCTAAATTTGTGGACTATGTAAGAAAGGAGAGAGATAAATTCATTCAAAGAATTAGTCTTTACAAGAAAGCAAATGCAAATTTGAATTTGGAATCATTTTTTTTGTTGCAAGAGAAAACTAAATGGTGTTACATTTTTAAAGAGATTAAAATATAAGTTCTCAATGGTATGCACTATAAAAAGTGAGTAGATTGTTTCAAATTCTATGCTTATAAGTTCTTTGGTTAATCTCTTTGGTTAACCAAAGAACTTATATGCATATATGCATAACCCATGGACACAGACAATAGTGTGGTGAATGCCTGGGGTGGGGCAGGAGTGGAGTGGAGGGTGTCAGTGGGAGGAAAAAGGGAGACATCTATAATATTTTCAACAATAAATTTTTAAAAAAATTCTACACTTAGCACTAAAAATAAAAGTCCAATGTCGTTTATAGTTAAGCAGAGCTATAACTACACTGAATTTCCAAGCCTCTATTTTTTTGGCTGTCTTATACTTCAAATTAAATGATTAACAGATAGCAGTTTATTGGCCTAGTTAGCCACAAAAGCATGTCATTTTGGTAAGGTTTTTATGTGAATAAAAACACAGTTTGTTTTTTATATCAATTCTGGGTCAAATAAGAACATTTAGAAGATAACTATAATTTTTAAGGATCATGTTAGTTTTGACCTAGAATCAACTAAATAAAACTGTTCTTAATGTAGCTAGAATACGCAAACAGAACCTTTTGGACTAGGTATTCATACATACACTGAAATTTCTTTGGACTCTGTATTCTACTTAGTTTCACTTTTCCCTCTGAGTCAGAGTTCTGTTTAGCCAGCTGAAAATACTTATTTTTACATGTTTGTATTCCAACTAAAAGTTAGGAATCCACCAAAATCACAAAATGCTTGAAATAATAGTAGGAACAAAGAATAATGGGATCAAATTAAAACAAAGGATATCTACTATGTTAAAAAATAAAAATTAAAAAAAATAACCATTTTGACCTTCGCACACTTGAGGCATTTTTCAAAGCTAAAATGTAAAAATATTCAAAAACAGCAGTTAAGTTCTTTAAAAAAATTAAATGAGAAATCTGGCAACCCAAATTTATAACTTTAACAAACGTTTTTAAAAATTTCTATAACCTAGAATTATTAACTAAGAGATTATCTCAAGAAAATTTCCAAAGTGGTCTCAAGACAATAAAAATTCAAGTATTAAGGTGAATATAGACAGGAATGAATGTGATAAAAATGAAGGCATCTAAGAAATTGTGGCCAAAGATAATCTAATTTCAGAAGATCCCTTTGTTAATGCTATTTAAGGCTTAAAGGTTTAGAAACTATCCTCTTTCCTGTTTTCTTCCACCTGAGAAAGCTGACCTTAATACTGCTAAAGATTAAAAGAAGAATCCAGCCCTGGCTGGTATGGCTCAATGGATAGAACATCAGCCTGTGTACTGAAGGGTTCTGGATTCAATTCCCAGTCAAGGGTACGTACCTGGGCTGCAGGTTTGATCCCCGGCCCCAAGTAGGCAAGGGCATGTGCCAATCCATGTGTCTCTCTCACATCAATGTTTTTCTCTCTCTGTCTCTCTCTCTCTCCCCCACTTCCTTCCACTCTCTCTAAAAATCAATGGAAAAAAATCTCCTTGGGTGAGGATTAACCAAAAAAAAGAAGAATCCAGCGGGGCAAGAAGAGAAGAGATTAACCAAAGAATTTATAGGCATATATGCATAACCCACAGATACAGACAATGGTGCTGTGAAGG